ATCTATAAATAGGGAAGATTGTAATGAATAATTTTAAGCTTTTCCCTCTCAAATTCTCCGTTTTAACATAATTATTAGAGGGATTCAAATTGGATTGTTGAAGTGAAGGAATACATCAAGTTTATTACGTGATAGAAAGTACCCCATTAACTTAAGGGAAAATTTTATAAGATTGTAGTCATACATGCAATGTTTCATAGCGCAGGATGTTGGCCATTAAAAGAGAAGCATAAAATTAAAATTGTTGTAGATATGAGGATGCTTAGGTGGATGAGTACTTTACTCTTAGAGACAGAATGTGAAATGAGTTTATAGATGAAAAGGTTGGAGTAGCTCCAGTGGCAAATAAGATTAGATTGTTTAATCACATAAAACGTCGGCCTTCTAATGGCTTGATTATGAGAATAAATGTATTAGATTTGACTTATATTAAGAAAGGTAGATGTAAACCTAAAAATACTTGGCTAGAAAATATTAGAAATGATATTGTTTATAAGATTTAAATGAGAATTTGACTCTTAATATGATACAATGGAGAAAAATCATTCATATAGTTGACCCCACATTGTGATATGAAAGCTTGATGTTGTTGTACACAAGAACAAAATATAATTGTGATGTAAAATACACTTTTATTTCTTACAGTTGCTTCAAACCAAACATACCCGAAATAACCTAGTAAGTTTGGCTGGAAATGAATGCCTTATTATTTGTGTAGAATCTATTTGTGTCGATCAATCTAGTTGTACTATTGCCTCGAACCTCAATTATGTTGGTCAAGCTCGTTGGGGGGTTGCAGGTATAGTCCCCCTACCTGGGTTTGGGGACTTTGCCCATGGAAAAAAGTTCTTCAATACAATCATACAACGATGCGATGTTGTACACATGCTACATTTGGAGACGAAGAGCAGAGCGTCGAGTAGCTCCAGAACCCAGCGCTGTTAATCAGGCTAGAGACAAAGAGTAGAGCGTTGCGATGCTCTAAACCTAACACTGCTAGACAAGTTGGGTAGTTTTTTTTTTTTTTCCTCTTTTTTCATGTTTAACTTGAAGGGTTGTGTCCCTTAAGGTGATTAATGTGCATCGCTTTCTCAGTTTTATACAAGAACATGTGTGAAGAGAAGAGAGATAAGGACAGAGTGAGAGAGAAAAGGAGATCGGTATAATTTCTCCCAATTTTTATTGAAAATATTATTTAACTTGTAATTACATTTGACGATATGATTTGGTTGTAATTAATGTTAAATTGATATTTCCCAATAATTTAGAGTATATTCATGTTTGTTTTTATGATTCTCTACCCAATGTAAAATTGAATAAACTTTTATATAATTGCATATGCCTTTTCAAGTATTCAATGAGTACTCAGCGAGTTATAGCGAGTGGACACATACCTCATGAACCCATAAGAAAACTAGTCTAAGGACTGCTAAGACTCAACTCAATAGGGTACCCAAAGGGGAGTCACCCAAACATATCAATGGCGTGCGCCATAGTGTACAACGAGGGGCATTTTAAATCTTTTGACACTTATCGTATAAATACTTAAGCTTGTTGATTACTACAAAATTTTCCCGCTCTTTTTCTCCGTTCTTACATAGATTCTTAGGTGTACTCCTAGAACACGTCTACTAGTAAAGTCAAGTGTTACTCACAAACACATTTGGATCCACCAAATTTAAAATTTAAATAGCATTAAATTGTGTTCACTCTTCAATTTATTAATTATATCACCAAACATAGAAATTGCTTTTCCACTTATTCTTCTTAAACAAAAAAATGGGTGAACACTTTCTGCTCAACAAAAGTTTTGACTGAAAACTATTTTCAATTTACTCATATCACTTCGAGCTCCTTTTTACCTTTTCATGTCCTCCATTTTAGTTTCTTCAAACCAAACAGAGCCTAATAGTAACAAAACTCTCTCAGGAGCTTTAGCTACCAAGTGAAGCGATGATATCTCATTTGACAGTTGATGAGTTCAGTTCATTCCAGAGGAAATAGAAGCCAGAACACACCTTTCAGTTTTTCCTAATCGCAGCATTTCCCCCGGAGATAGGAACTGAATAAAATATTTGATAAAGAAAAAAAAAATCTACCCTTTTTTTTATTCGGGGCCCTTATTATTATAATTATAGAGCACGGGGAAATGGACCTTTCAACACAAACGCGACGAAAATAACGGAAAATGAAAGAAAATTACTGTACTACAACAAGCTGACCCGCTGCGGATCCATTGAAACCCCCATTCCCTTCTTCAAAATACTGCTCATGCTCCTCCGGCCCATCACCCTTCGGAACCGTCACGATCAACTCTCCATCTACATACTCAGCCGTCGCAAGCCTAGGCAAAGTCGACGGTGGCAACCGAAACCTCCAACGATCGAACTCAAGCTCATCCTCCCCAAAGTCTCCTTCGCCGGCGCCGGCGCCGGCTCCGTCAACTACCACAACCTTCATCACTCCGGGATGAACAACCACCGCGTGAGCCCGAACCCCGCCGCTCAAGCCGTCAGCCGCCGCAAAGAACCGGAACATGGTGGTGTCCTCCTCAATGTAGACGTCTGCGTCGGCCCCAAATGGGAGCTCAATCATCTTGCTGAACACATGAGGAAGTCGCCGGAGCTTCTTGCACCCGCCGGCCATCGCATTCACCGGGTAAACCCTCATGAATGATTATTTCTCGCAAAGGATCAAAAGACCAATTGAGAGAAATGCAGAAGAATCGAAACCCTAGGTAAATTACAGACCGGCGGTGCCGCCGCTGCCCGCTAGTGCTTTGAGAAGAGAAAAACCACTCTGGGTCTTGAGTTGATTGTCGAGCTTCAGTGAGCTCCCCATTTAAAGGACAACTGTTTCAAAAGTAACCCAAAACTATGCGAAATATATCGAAAATGCCATTCAATTATTTCTTATTGGCACGGGGATTGAAGCAGAGCCGTCCGATGGCATCCAATGACATCTTGGACATATTAAGCCGTGCTCGAATTTGATCGGACGACCGTAAGCCTGCTGCTGCGTAAGGTTAACGTGTTAACCCGTGAACGTCACGATTGAACAAGGTAGGATTTTGGCTGTTGGGTTCAAACAGCGAGAGTTCTTTTTAGACCAATCATGATGTAGAGAAATATGCTTGGCGATTCAAGATTAAACGACCAATTATGAAAATAGAATGTGGATGCTGCACTTTGACTGTATAATTTGTTCAATAATCGACCTTTTATTTTTTGTTTTTTTGGAATTATATACTTTGTTTAATACTTTTATTATTTGTATTTTATTAGAAAAAATAATTCAATAGGAAAGGAAGATAATTGTTTTATTCTTTGGTGAGTTATAAGGGAAGACAAATAGGTTCTTCTTGAAGGAAATTATTTTTTCATGATTTTATGAAGAATAAATTATTTCTTTGGCTATATATTTGTTGCTTTATTTAAGGATGAGGCAATTTATTTGTGGGGCATCATACTTGGGATTTCGGCTGATCGAAATGAACAGATCGCGAATTCAATCAAATTGATCCGACTTATTTAATAACGGTTCAAAAAAGTCGAATATTAAAGCAGATTTATCAACAAAATAAAAAATAATTATTGGAATTTATTTTTCAAATCATAATGGGTTCATGGATCAACATTGAATCTAATCTGTTAAAAACAGGTCAAAAAAATTCAACTCTGACCTGGACCGGTTTTATTAAAGAGTTAACAAATGAATTATCCTATGATTAGTTATAAGTGATTTTAGCATTAATTTTTTTTACTATCATAATTATAATAATTTATATTTGTAATTATTATTTTATTCATAGTTTTTTTAAAGCACTACTCGATTTGACAGTTAAAAGTTTAGGACATATAATTTAGCTTGTTCATTGGCTCAGTTCAATACAATTTAAATCAAATTAGCTCAAATTAATGCGATTAAAATCAAGCTCAAATTTTAATTGACCTAGAAATAAATATTTTTTTTCTTTAAAAAATATTCTATGTGCATAAAAATATATTTATGATTGATATGCCATGTAAAAATTACCTTGATCGGACGCGAATCTCGAGACAAAAAGCTAGTT